ATCTCCTTGGACACCCCCTCTCCCAGCACACACAGCCCCCTTCCCTCGGGCTCTCCATCCCCTCACTGCTCATCTTTTTGCCTTACTAAGCTGAGAACTCTCTTTGATTCCCATCCCTCTAGATAAGTGTTCCTTTCCTCATTGAACTGCCCCTGCCCATCCTGGAGCCCCCTCCTCCTTGCTCAGCACCCCATCTCCTTCCTGAACCCCCAAACCTCAAGGAGCTCAGCTTCTAGTCCCCTGTCCCTGGCCCCAGTGTCAAGCCTCAAGGTTGGTCCTACTGGCTGAGTTCTGTGTCTTGACCCTCTCGTATCCTTGGGTCTTCACCATCACTCCCTGCCTCTGTCTTGTGATCACAGTCCCCGCTCCCAGCAGGTCTCTCCTTTCTGTCTCTTTCTGTGTTCTTTGACCTTCTCCTCACTTTATTCCTCACCTCCATCCCCTCCACTAACTGTTCAGCCCCCTGTGGTTTGGCCTGCATCCCACCACTCCACCAGAAATGCCCTTCTTGAGGTCACCCAATCACCTCTTCCTGCATGTGTCATAGGTTTTCCCAGAGGTCCTGGCCGTGGTCTCCTCCCAGCCCTGGGCCCTGCAGATCTCACCCTCTTCCACTCAGTTTCCATCTCCCACCCCAGTGTCCTCCCATCTCCCCAACAATTCCTTCTCAGCTTCTTTCCAGGCCCTTCCTCTGCTTGTGTGTTGAATGCGAGTATTGCCCAGGACTCAGCTCTTGGTCCTCTTCTCAAGCTGCACCCCTTCTTCCCCAGGATGCTTTCCCCTCCCACAGATTTAATCCCCAATGACAGCTCCCAGCATGGATCCCTGAGTTCTCTCCCCCTTTCCACAGCCTGCTTCTTAAATGAGATGGTTCTCCACCTTCCTTTACTCCTTAACCACTGCCCTCCCCTCTCCACCTCAACCAGGGATGCCAACAGCCTGTTTGTGGCTGGGTCCTTACATGACATCTCAGTAGCACCTGGCGTTGGGCTCCCCTCTCCTCCCTTGGGTGTCCTCTTCTCTTGACTTCCATGATGCAGCATGCTCTGAGTGTCCCTACCCGTCTGGGTGCTTCTCCTCGACCTCTTAGCTGACCCTTCTTCTTCTGTCCTCTTCAATGTCTAATGCCTCTTCTCACTGTCTGCTCCCACTTCCCTAGCCATCTCGTCGATGTCCTAGCCTTTGACTGTTTTATATTAAGGACTCCACGTGTCAGTCTCCAGCCAAAATGTTTCTCTTGAGTTCCAGACCCACAGGTTCTGCTACCTACTAGATACCTTCCCAAGGGCATCCCACAAGAACCACAAACTCAACCCAACTCATCATTTCCTCCACTTGAATCTGCTCCTTCTCCTGTGGGCCCTCTCTTGGTGAAGAGCAGTGGCTATCCCATTATCCAAGCCCAACATCTGGGTATCATCCTTGACCTGTGCTTTCCCCCAGCCCTCACCCGCATGTCCAGTCCATCACCTAGTCTCCTTGATTCTACCACTTGAATATCTTTTGTGCGTCTATACCTTTCTACCTTTCCATCCTCCTGGTTCAGCTCCATCTCTTGGAACCTGGAAGTCCCCCTCCCTCCAGGTTTGCCATCTGTACAATGCATTCTCCACACTACAGAGGGATCTTTCTAAAATGGAACCCTGGCCTTGTCTCCTGTTTTAAAGCCCCTTGGGACTCCTTATGGCCTTTGGAATAATATCTGTACTCCTTTTTTTAGGGGTGCAAGGCCTTTCCTTCTCTGCCCCCTGCTTTCCTCTCCACTCACTCCACGCACCAGCCATGCTGAATGAATTTCAGATGCCCCATGGGCTGCACTTTCTCTTACGTGTCATTAAGGCCTCTGCAGAGAAATGCACACAGAGATTTGTTGTTGGTTGAGTGCGAGGCAGACAGCAGGATTCTAAGAAGGCCCTTTGCAAATGTGCCCTTCACTAAAGTGATAAGGAAGGAATATATGAGTTATGGGAATATAACCATAGACACCTACAAATGGGACACCGGGATGACTTTGGTTCTTGTTGTTGTTCAGTTTCTCATTTGTGTCTGACTCTGTGACCCCATGGACTGCAGCATGCCAGGCTTCTCTGTCCTTCACCATCTCCCAGAGTTTGCTCAAACCCATGTCCATTGAGTCAGAGATGCCATCCAACCACCTCATTCTCTGTCATCCCCTTCTCCTCCTGCCTTCCATCTTTTCCAGCATCAGGGCAAGCCAAAAACCTAGAGGGAGCCTTCATTTCAGCCACATATTGAATAAAAACCTTGAGTCATAGACAACTTAATATCTTTGGAGTGGAAGTGGTACCTAAAATCTACAGTGACTTATTCATGTTATAGCTGAATAACAGCCCAAAGTAGAAAATCAGTCCCAAGCAGGCTCCCTCGTAACTCTGATACCACATTTGGAGTCCTTTCCTCTTACAATGACCCAACCAACAAGAGTGATATTAAGTTTTAAATTTGTTGATTAGCTAAATGGTAACACTGACTCTATGTAAATAAGTTCTTTATTTGAAAAATCAGTCTGGTCAAACCTTCAATTTCCCTGTCACCCTGGTTTTCATAAACTTTTTCTCACTGCCTGGAATTCATACTGGCTGTGAAGCCTTGTTTAAGTAGTTCAGCCTTTCTTATTTCCTCATCTGTGAAAAAGAGGGGGAAAAAAGAGTAGTATCACCCACTTCATGGGCTTTAAGGATCAAATGAGCTAATACTTATAAAGCACTGAGAGCAGTGCCTGCAACAGAATAAGTGTTCAACCTTTAGGAGTAAGCTTCAGAGGTTATGGTTAAGATTTTGTTTTTGTTGTTTATCATTATTGTGTTTGCTATTCCCCTTTTCTCCTCTGTTCACCTATCTCATACTCATTCTCTTGTTCTGAAATCAGGGATCATTCCTAGAGCTGGAGCTCTCCCCCACAGCCCTCCAGAGCAAGCATCTTCATCTCCCTTTTTTTAGGTGGTGGGAAGAGAGGCCCACAGGATGCAGAGTTTTGCCCAGGGTCATAGGCCAGGCATTTGACTTCAGGTCCAACCAGCGAAGTCTAAGCCATGCGTCCTCCATTGCTGCACAATCTTCTGTGATCTCTGCTCTGATTCTGCTGGCTGTCTGCCTCCAACCTGTGTACAACTCCTCACTGCCTGGTTCCTCTTTTAATGACTGGTCCCACCCATCCCCTAAGCCAGAACCCTGGGAAGTACCCCAGCCTCTGATTGGTCACAATGGCCATACTGATTGTATTTCCTAAGTATCTCTCAAATCATTTTCTCTCCATCTCCACTGAACAGAACTTGGTTTTAGACTCTCTCATCTTTCTCACCTGGATGATCCACTCAGCTTCCTCCCAAGTGGTCCTCCAGTCTCTGGTCTCTCCCCAGGCTGCAGAGGGTGCTTCCCAACCTGTAAATCAGACCGGATCTTGCTCCTGCTTAAAACTTGCTGATGACTTTTTTATTTCATCAGTTCTGAGAAAGGTCCCCCTAAAACATTGTGAAACAAGGGTTCTGTGGCCAAAATGTCTTGGAAGTGGAGCTCATGCTGTCTCCCTCTTAGAAAGTCACTTAAAGTCACAGAAGCATAATGAAATGAAATGAAATGTTAATCACTCCCAGTCGTGTTCGACTCTGCGATCCCATGGACCATAGCCAGTCAGTGTCCTCTGTCCATGGGATTCTCCAGGCAAGAATACTGGAGTGAGTTGCCATTCCCTTCTCCAGGGGATCCACAAAGGCTGCAAAAAGCCCTGGAGTAGAAAAAAAATCCAGTTTAGACTTGTTGGACATGGTGGTTCTCAGATATATTCTCAGATATACCTAATGCAATGGCCTTTTCTCCACATCTTCCTATGAACATTTAGGGGAATCCTGTTCCAAGAAATATTCTTTGGGAAATGCTGCAAGATAGAATTCAAGTCCATTACCATGACATAAAAGGTGCTTAAAAATAAGACTACTTATCTTTCACCACTCCCCTCCCCACCTCTCCTGTACCCCCAGTCTTCCTGTTTCCTTCAGGTCACTTTACACCTCTGTGGTCTTGCCCCTAGAGGACCCTAGTCTCTACTTGCCGATGGACAAATTGTTATTCATTCTTGAAGAGTTGACCCAAATGGCCCCTCTTCTGTGACTCCTTCCTTCTTTCTGGATTCTCTTGATCCTCGTGGCTGCCAGCATGTGTCTGTTTGTAGGTCTGTCTGTACCTTGGAGAGATCAGTTCAGGATAGCCAGGGGTCTTTGCTTCCATGTCCCTAGCACTTGGCACCGCTTGTGGTACCTGGGTGGGGCCAGGTGAGTGTTGGTTGAACAAGTGAAGGAGGAAACGAGATCGTAGGTCTGAAACTCAACCCTGGGGTAGGGGACCTCACTGGCTCAAAGGATGGTTCCAACCTCAGCACCTTTGACATCTTGGACCAGATTGCTGTTGTGGGGGCTGCCCCACACATTGTAGGATGTTTAGCAGCATCCCTGGTTTCTGTCTCCCAGAGGCCACTAGTAACCCCCTCCCCGGTGTGATCACCAAAATGCCTCCAGACTTTGCCAAAAAGTCTGCTGCCCTGAGGAGCAGACTCATCTCTGGTTGAGACCACTGTTCTAGACATAGGTTATTCCAGTTGTCTTCCTGTCTCAGGGTAGGTGGCCTTTTTCTCATTATCCCTCTTGTCCTTAAAATTTTCTCAGGGTTGTGTAAATTTCAGGCTTCAGCACCTTCTCTGAGGATGGTGGAGCAAGTCTGGGGGGTGAGCCTGTGTTGCTCCTGGAGCTGAGGGGGCATTTAGGGTGGATGGCAGCTCTTGCTGTGCTAGTTCCCTTGAAAGCAGATGCTGGGAAGGTCTATAAAGGAGCCTTGCAGAGAGCTGCTAGCCTGGCCTGCAGTTTCTGAGAAGCACATTCGTTCTGTAGGCTGAAACTCCTGTCTACTCACTTTCCATCCTTGTGGGAGCCTGGGAAAGACAGAGACCTCTCCCAGAGCTGCCTCTCACCCTTGCTCCATCCTTGCAGTCAGCACCGAGGGAAGCCAGGCCTGTGCCAAAGGCTGTGAGCTCTGCTCGGAGGTCAACGGCTGCCTCAAGTGCTCGCCCAAGCTGTTCATCCTGCTGGAGAGGAACGACATCCGCCAAGTGGGTGTCTGCTTGCCGTCCTGCCCACCTGGATACTTTGATGCCCGCAACCCTGACATGAACAAGTGCATCAGTGAGTGTGGGCAGGGCTGGGGAAGGGTGCTGGAAACTCTGGATATGGGGCGGAAGTGCTTGGAACTGTTGATGGGCTGCAAGAGGAGTGGAGGAGATATTGAGGAGGGGAGTCCCTGATTCAAATATCCAACTGCTGGCCAGACATTTCCTCAGACATCCCACCCACATTTCCAGCCCGTAACGTAGCTGTATCTCCTCCCTCCAAACCTGCACTGACTTGTGTTCCCACAGGTGACTCTCAGTGTCCCAACCCATCACCCCAGGCACAGACCTAAGAGCCAGCCTCTCATCTATGCCCCCACCTTAGCCATTCAATAACCAAACTGGGCCTCCTCCAGCTCCTTCCATCCTCACTGCCATTGTTCTATCCAGGTTCCCATCCCCTCTTCCCTGGACCACTGCAATAACCTCCATCTGTCCCCCAACCCTCATCTGGTTCCCTTCGACTCTCCCTCTGCCCTGCAGCCAGAAAGATGCTTCTGAGACATATAGCCTAAAAAAATCGCTGCTGGCTCCACTGACTGCAGGGAAATTCAAGCCCCGGTCAGCCTTCTCTCCCCATCCTCCCCACCCCCCATCTCACTCTGCTCTGCTCTCTCACACCAGCTACAGTTTCACATGCTGTCACACCTCTCTGTCAGCTGGGGGCCACGTGGTGAACCCTCTCCCGTAAACAATGCCAGTGACCCTCTCATTTTGTTCAGAGCCTTGGAGTTTAGCATGCATGTCCAGACCTTCTATCGGTTCAGCCACACAAGCACCTTGTGAGGGAGACAGACCTAAGTGATGGTACCCTTTTCATAGCTGATAACATCAAGGTCCCAGGGAAATGCCTGAGGGGAGTTCAGCCGACTTGGGTTCTGAATCCCAACTCTGCTGCTTGCTCACTGTGTGACCTTGGGCAAGTTGGAGCCTCTCCAAACCTCATCTTCAAAATGTGGGTGTTCGTTTTTACCCCCAGGATTGTTGTGAGAGGCGTATGTCAGTCCTGAGTGTCTGGCACAAAATAAATGGAGCAGCTCTTATTCTTATTTTTGTTTGTGTTTTGCCTGCCACCAAACCCAGGACTCAGAGGCCAGGAGGCACAGAGGAGGGGGTGGGGGTGGGGGTGGGGAGCTTATGAGGATGGAGGTGGGACCCCAGGACTGCCCTCTCGGTCCTCGGGGATCTGGGTAGGGCATTCCTTGCTATGCCTGCTCCTGGGAAACTGGCAGCCCGGGCTTCAGGGGAGGGGACTGGGAGGAAGTCAGCTCCGCCCACAGTCCGGGAGGGGAGAGATTGTGAAAGACCCCTCCGGCTTCCAGCCTAGCCCAGCCACCCTCACCCCCCACCTCCCCGCAGGAGGGAGAGCTGGCAGGAGGGCATCAGGGAGGGACCCAGGAGTCTGACCAAGGTGGTTCCTGGAACTCAACCTTGCAGAGGCAGAGGAATTTTCCCCCGGATGGCTCCCCATCCTCCAGGCAGATTCTTGCTTCCCTGGGCAGGAGGAGAACGAGGCTTTCCAGCAGTAGGGGAAGAGGAGACCACACAGCCACTCTCAGGGTGTCATTGTATCCCTCAGTTTGGCTCTGATTAGGTGGTCCTTAGGGTGCCCTGAGATGCTAGGACCCTCCTCTCGCCCCCACCAATCTCCTGTGCTCTGAATCCAGCTCTCTCGGGCCTCCCCTTGGGTTCCCGGGCCTGCAGGGGGGGGTGCTGGGTTGGGCAGCTGGGGGGTGGGAAGAGTCCCAGCCGGCCCTCAGGAGGGGCTGTTTTGGCCTCCTCTCTCCCCGCCTCTTGCTTTCATTTCTCTCCCTGCCAAGACTCCACTGCGGTAGTGGCAGCTCCAGGCCACTGTCCTGCCGTGTGTTGGTGGGTGGGCACGGGGATGAGGGGAGGGGTCCGTCTGGGGCTGAGACAGAGCCCCGCCCCACGCCCCACGCCGGTCTGGCCCTCCCCTCAGAATGCAAGATTGAGCACTGTGAGGCCTGCTTCAGCCACAACTTCTGCACCAAGTGTCAGGAGAGCTTGTACCTGCACAAAGGCCGCTGCTACCCCGCCTGTCCCGAGGGCTCTGCGCCTGCGGACGGCGCCATGGAGTGCGGCAGCCCGGGTAAGCCGGCGGGGTCTGGGCCGGAGAAGGGGCGGCCCGGGTGGGAGCGGCCCCCAGGGAGAGCGTGGGCTGGGCTCCGCGCAGAGAAAGCTCATGACCATCACCCCCTGAGTTTCTCTGGGGACTTTTATGCCCTCTGGACTATCAGGGTGCCTCGGGCTTGGGGCTGAGACCGAGAGCAGGTGGGAGAGGCTCCCCGGGGCGCACCCCGGGGCCAGGTGAGGAACCGTGACCCCTTCCTCCCCTTGCTTCCTTCCCCTCCCACCAGCACAATGTGAAATGAGTGAGTGGTCTCTGTGGGGGCCTTGCTCCAAGAAGAAGAAGCTCTGTGGCTTCAGGAGGGGCTTGGAGGAGCGGACACGGAGGGTTCTCCACGCCCCCGGGGGAGACCACGCCTTATGCTCCGACACCAAGGAGACGCGGAGGTGCACGGTGCGGAGGACGCCCTGTCCGGAGGGTGAGCTGCAGCCTGGGGGTCAGGGGTCAGCTACGGGAGGTCTGATCGCCTCTGTTTCCTACCTGTGACCCAGAAGAGTGCTCGGGCCAGGGCCAGATGAGGCATCCTCAACTCAGGACCCCAGGCTGTGCAAACCCGTGCCAGGCAGACAGGGATGCCCGCAGCTGCGTGGGGTGGCGGGAAGCTTGTGTGGTCCCATCCCTCCCCACTGCTTCTGATTCAGGGGATGTTGGCACCGGACCGGCCCTTAGAAGGGGAGCTTGGAAGTGGAGTGCGAAGGCCCAGAGAGGGGCAGTGATTTAGCCGAGGTCACACAGCCCGCCCGTGGCAATGATGTGGCAGTGGTGTGGGATGGAGGCGTGGGGAGCCGTCCTGCCTGTCCCCAGAGCTGCAGTGACTGGTTGGGAGACGCCTCGGGCCATTGGGATCCAAGGTCTGAGGAAACGTGAGGAAAGAGGAGCCGGTTCTGTTCAGGTGGAGAGTGAAAAGGTTCATGTGGGACCCCCCTCAGTACCCATGTTGCAGAGCCCTGGTGCAGCGCCCGCTGGTCCGAGGAGGCCTGGAGGGTACCCCGACCGCCTCTGGGCCTCCTCCCCAGCCCCCCTGCCCCACTTCCTGACCGCATTCCTCCTCCCGCTCTTGGCCTTGCCCAGGGCCTCCTGCTGGGTCAGGACGCCCTTGGTTGACTCTTCCTGCTGTTGGGGTTCCAGGGCAGAAGAGGAGGAAGGGCGGCCAGGGCCGGCGGGAGAACGCCAACAGGAACCCCGGCCGCAAGGAGAGCAAGGAGGCGGGTGCCGGCACTCGGAGACGCAAAGGCCAGCAGCAGCAGCAAGGGACAGTGGGGCCGGTCACCTCCACGGGGCCCACCTAGGGACCCTGTTCAGCCTCCCAGTCCATGCAGAAGGAGTCCAGTGCCACTATGTGTGATGAGAGCTTCACTGAACTTGAGCACTGGGGGCAATGCGTACACACCCTCTCCATACATACAGGAACACACAGACACATGCACACAGACCCCATGTCCAAACAGGTAACTGACATACGTGCAAAGGTGTGCATGCATGCACGCACGCGCACACACACATCGAGGCTACTGGAAGACACTTCTGTCCCTCGGACATCACTGTGTGAGCAGGGCGGGGAGGCAGAGGGGTCATCTCTACCCCTCAGAGGTCCAAGAGGCACACACTTGGTTTGTGACGCAACCAGTGGATGCATCAGAGAGAATGTTGACCAGCATCCAAGCCCAGACTCTGCAGAGTGGAACCTTCTGGAGGAGTTCCTAGGACCAGCCTGCGTGGCAGACAGCAGCCAAAGCTTGAGGACTGGTCAGCATCTCCAGCTGTATGACTTTATCCTTGGAGAGTACTGTTACACATTCATATCAGGACTTTCCTGACTCTGAAAACTGCTTAAAGGTTTATTTCAAATTAAAAATGAAAACCAACTGACCACAGTAGCCACAGGTACTATGTTTCTTCTCTGGGTACAGGGTTTGATGGAGTGCGTAGGAAAGCAGAAGAGACAGGGCTGAATTTTAAGAGACCCCTGCTGGCCTCCTCCACAGAGGGTCTGGAACAGCAGGAAAATTGGAGGGGGGGGGGCGATATGCGGGGCAGTAACCAGATTCTTTACATCTTTGTTACTCAGAGGGTGGCCTGCGGACCAGCATCAACATTATAAGCAGGCAACTTGTTAGAAATGAGAATTTACAGGTCCCATCCCAGACCTGATGAACCAGAGCCTGCATTTTAACAACGTTCCAGGTAACTGGCAGGTACATTCAAGCCTGAGAAGAACCACTCTCATTCCCTCGAAGGATGGAATAGAGGTCTTGGCCAGCTTGCAGCAGGAAAGATCCTGGTCAGCTCTAAAGAAGACTTCCCATCTGGGAGCGGTAGAATCTATATACTGAAGGGTTATCATGGCACTTTAGTGGGAGGGAGTGTCCAGGACCCTAAGATGGCTGGGGACCAATGGACCCCAGTGGTGGGGTAGATGTCAGAAGAGTAGATGGAATCCTTTCTTGTCATTCTGAAGTGTCCACTGGCAGCCATCTGGTCACCAAGCTCTGGAAGAATGTTTGGTTTCCAGGGGGGAGCTGGACAGGAGCCTTGCTCTCATGGAGCTTAGGGGTTGGTGGGGGACAGGCGTGAATCAAGCAATCCTTCCAATAAATGTGTAGTTATAGATGGGTGTAGTTAAAGGCAGACAACCACTGAAACACACACATAGCTATGAAAGTAAATAAAAATAAATAAAAATAAAAGCTATCTCAGGGAAGTTTTTCAGAAGAGGTAACATTTGAGCTAAGCTCTGAAGGATGAAGAGGAGTTAACGCAAAGACAAGGAATGGTGTTTAGACCAGTGCTGTCTAATAGAAATACAAAGTGAGCCACTTATCTAATTTAATACTTTTCTAGTAGCCACATTTAAAGAGTAAAAAGAAACAGGTGCAGTTCATTTTATCTTATATTTAACCAAATGTATGCAAGCTGTTGTCTTTTTAACATGTAATCAACATAAAAAATTATTAGTGAGCTCTTTATGTTCTTTTTTTAAACTGTCTTCAACATTCTGTGTATATATTTACCCTTTACAGCATATCAATTCAGACACTATATTTTCACCAGAAATACATGATATGTATTTAGATTGAATAAAAATTCAAATTAAAGAGTAGATTCAGGACTTCCCTAGTGGTCCAGCGGTTGAGAATCTGCCTGCCAATGCAGGGGATATGGTTTCAATCCTGTTCCAGGAAGATCCCACATGCCATGGGGCAACTGAACCCATGCACTGCAACTCCTGAAGCCCTCACACCCTAGAGCCTGTGCTCCACAACAAGAGAAGCCACCACAATGAGAAGCCTGTGCATTGCAACAAAGACCCAACACAGCCGAAATAAAAAATTTTTAAAAAGTAGATTCACCTACCACATACCCAAGTTGTTTAAAGAGTAGATTAATATTTTCTGATAGCTGAATTGAATACATTTAACATTTTTAAATTTAACTAACTGAAATTATATTAACAATTACATTCTTCAGTTGTGCTGGCCACATTTCAAGTGCTTGCTAGCCATAGTGGACAGCATAGTCCTATATTGAGGACACAAAACATGCAAATGTCCTGTGGCAGAAAGGAGCTTGGTGTTCAATGAACTGAAAGAAAACCAATATAGCTGGAAGGGCTGGAGGGCAAGGGAGGTGAGATGTTTCCAGAAAGGTCCACCTAGAGTAGGGACTCTATTCTCAGAGCCAAAGGAAGCTGCTGAAGACTTAAGCAGCAAGCCAGCATAATCAGATGTGAAGTTTTGCAAATTTTGAAAGACTGAGCATGTTGGCTGTGGTATAGAAGACAGGTTTTCAAAAAGCTGTTTGGGAGGCCCTCGTCATCCAGGTGACGTGTTGTTGGTGAAGGTGACAGTGGTAATGGAGACAGGAGGACAAAGTCAGAGGTATTTGGGGAGCAAAGTTGGCAGAGTTTGGTGATAAACTGGACATGGACGAAGGGAGAAAGGAGAGGGAGGTGTCAAGGACTAAGTCCCTATTTCTGGCTCAGACATCCAGACAGAGGATGATGCTGTGTTCTGAGATGGGGGATCCACGAGGAAGACCAGTCCAGGAAGAGAAAGAACAAAACTTTGGTTTTGACCAAGTTGAATTTGAGAAACCAATGAGATGTCCCGGTGACGGTGGTTGGTAGACACTCAGTTCAGTTCCGTTGCTCAGTCGTGTCCGACTCTTTGCAACCTTGTGGACTGCAGCACACCAGGCCTCCCTGTCCATCACCAACTCCCTGAGTTTACTCAGACTCATGTCCATTGTGTTGCTGATGCCATCCAACCATCTCATCTTCTGTCGTCCCCTTCTCCTCCTGTGTTCAATCTTTCCCAGCAAGGAAATGTCAAGGTAGACATTGCCTTGCCACAAATGCAGGCCTGGAGCACACAGGGGATATCTGAGCTGGAATGCCGGCTGCTATAGAGAAGATCCTTGGGGTTGTGGGTTGGGAAGCGCCCTGGGTAAAGAGAAGTCTCAGGACCCAGTTCTGCAGCCCTCCAAGGATAAAGCTCAGATAACGGAGGGTCAGTAGGTCAAGGAGTCAGAGAAGGAGCAGGCAAAGGGAAACCAGGGGAGTGGCACCTCCCGAAAGCCAGCAAAGCAGGGAGAGCGATCAAGAGGACCAAAAGCTGCTAGAGACAAATGAATGAGGCCTAGAAACTGACCCCTGGACTTACAACTCATGCACCAACCGTGGCCTCCCCCAGAGCTTTTTGGAGAGAGTGATGGAGGCCGAATTCAGCACAAATTCTTTCTGGAAGTTTAGCTCAGAAACAGAGAGAAATAAGACAGGGGCTAGAAAGAGATATGTTGTCAAGAAAGAGTTGTTTGTTTTGTTTGTTTGTTTTAGATGGGGAAGACGTGACAATGTTTAAAACCTGCTGAGAAGGGTGCAGTTCAAAGGTAGAGGTTGAACACACAGGAGAGAGAAGGGGGAAATCAGTAGTGGGAGGCTCTGAGCAGGGGATGGTTCTACAGGAGCAAGGAGATGGCAGTACCGGTGTGGGAAGGCTGGAAGGTTTGGAGGATGGGGGTCTCAGATCTGTGTACCTGCCACACTGCGGGGCTTGGCCCACTCAGATCTCTGAGCCCCTTCACTGCTTGTCAGGAGTCTGGGTGGCCACGGCTGGCTCCAGCTTCTACCCAATCCCATTACTTTGCCTTTTCTCTCTGCCCCAACTCTTGTCAGTCTCTCTGGCCCTATGCCTCACCCATCTCTCATTTGATTTCTCTGCTTTTGCCCTTCCCTGTTTCTCTGACTCTGTCCTTTCTCTGTCCTGCTTTTTGTCACTGTGTCTTTCTCTGTTCCCAGCCTCTAGTTCTACGAGTGTGTACCATTGTTTTTCTGCTTTTCTGTCCGGGCACCAGGCTCATCTTTGCCATCTCTGTCACTGATTTGTCCTCATCTCCTAGAACCTAGGTCCTTGCTACTCAAAGGGGGGCCGTGTATCAGCAACGTCAGCCTCATCTGGGAGCTTGCTAAAAATGCAGACTCTCCAGCCGCTCCCAGACCTAGAAATTGGAATCCGGCTTGAAACAGATCCCCCCCGGTAATTCACATGCATGTTAAACACTTCAGAAGCATTGCCTTCAGTTTTCCTCTAAAACATCAAAACCAAAACCCAGAATCTTAGACTCAAGGAAGGAGCTGGATCTCCCATATCTCCTGCATCACCTGGGTGATGCTGAGGCATTCTGCTCCTCTTCATCTCTCCTCGAGCCACTCCTGGTGCTCTAGGCAGTTAAAGGAGGGAACTTAATAGGGGCTCCAGGTGGTTCTGAGCTGCCACATTTATAGAATTACCCATAGGAGCAAATTTTGAGGCTGATAGGCTGGTGTGTCCAGGTGCAATTCCAGTGCATCCTTACCGTGGTATGTCTCACTCTGTCCTTTCAAGACTAACAATGTGTTTTTGAGCTGGAGATAGGTATGGGTTTCAAGGTGGGGAGTGGTTACCTGCTCACAGCCTTGGAAGCAGCCCACCTGAGGCTGGAGACCATCAGGATGGATGAGAAGTCACACTTTTGTGATTTTCAGAGTGAGGGGTTGCTGGAGAGAGGAGTCAGGTCAAGATGGCCAACCCTACTCCCAGGTTTAGGCAACAACAGTGCGGGATGTGTATGCGGCTGTTATCTGGCCATGGTGTCATTTGGAAAATGTTAGCTTCTTCCTCTGCAGGGTCACAGATTCTCTCAGACTAGCACATTTCTGTCCACCTTGCCCAATGCCAGCCCTGGTATGTTTCAGACCAATTCTCCAGGGAAAGCATTTGTTTTCCATTTCAATATTTTGGGTGATGGGACTGTGTTTGCTGAATTTGTTGTTGTTTTTTAAGTAGGTTCCCCCCACCCCCTTCCCTCGTGTGTTTGGTTTGGTTTAGAAGGACAGAGGGAATTTAGGGAAAGGGTCAGCTTCCTGGGCCCCGATTCAAGTCCCTGACACAGGGCCAGGAATCCAGGTGCAGGCTTTTTTTGCTCCTGACTCCTCCAGCTGTGGTCCAGAGTACATTGAAACAGACAACAGGTGGAAAGCCTTCACCTGGTGAAGGGTGGTAAGAAAGGAGAAAAACCACCACAGAGAACAGATTCCATTTTGAAGGATTAGATGGATTTATTGCAAAGGGGCTGGAGTGCTGCCTGCCTAGTAAAAGTGAGCCGGAACAAAAGCCTCGTTACAGGGGAGTAGGGAAGATCTGGAGATTAGGTGCCCCAGGGGCTGCTGAGACCAGCATACCTGAGCTGGGTGCACCTGCTTTGGTGTGGCATCCTTCCTGGCTCTCCCGAGGGAAGGAGCCGACACAGGGTGAGGAATAAACAGGTTTTGTCTGAAGCCTCGCTTGGCTTCAGCATCAAATAGACCATGGATCAGCAGCCCTGATGGGGGAG